AGAGAGAGAGAGAGAGACGACTGCTTTCCTTCATAGCCTAACTGTGATAAAGAAAATAATTGATTGAATTCACGTACCAAACTCTCGACTTTGGAAGAATTCTCACCTATCACTCATCTAATTTTGATTGATGAATTGAACCACTTTTTATTAAAATAAGTGTTTCCTCTTTTTTCGATCCAAGATGCTGCATAAGACAATTAGACGAAAGGCATAGTCCAAGATTTCAGATATTTGAAAGTTTTACGAATTATATTTGATATATTAAATTAAACAAGACATTATTAAAAAAAAGGTACAAATTTACTAGCACGTTTGTAATGTCATAGTACTAGTTGGGTTTTGAGGCTGGAATTTAGGTTGAGGGTGTCGGTAGGACTCCAAGACCGGACTATTTTTGGTCAAATTGGATTTCCAAGTCCAGCCCACAATGAATGTGATTTAGTGTCTGATTGTCAAGGGGTCGTCGTTGTATATCACTTAATATTATTAAAGAAATCAAAAATAAAAAAATAATGCTAAGTATACATTTATTTCTTTGCATTAAATTTGACATCCCCTTTGTTTTCAAAAAATTGTGAGGGGAAAATATGTATCTTTAAACTGTTCAATGGTGCGTTGTCAAGTGACATAATGTAAACAATAATGCAAAAGATGACATATTGCTTGATTGAAAAAAGAAATTGTTGAAACCTTATTGATTATATATTCAGGGAAAAATAAAAAAACAATTTCATATTCTTCCAAATCCATTACGAAAATTGGATGATTTATTATATTTACATGTATGGTTTGGGAGAAAAGCAAGTAAAAAATATAGAGAAAATGATTGTACGATTCCAGCGATGCAGATGCAGCACTTAAATGAGGTAGGTGATGAACAATGACATCTTCATTGATAACATTCACTACCTACTTAGAATTTCTACTTATTTTTACATAATTAACTCACTATTTAAATTAGACTTTTATGAGTCAATTTAAAAAGAAAAAGAAAAAAAATTCTTTAATGAGGTCCAACTACATCCTTTCAAGATTAATGCCCTTGATTGCAAGTAATTTCTTATTGAAAGAGACCCAACACCTAACCCCTAAATTTCCATAGAATCCACATAGCATTTTTGGATTATATAAAACATAAAACTTATTGGCTTTTAACTAACATTAAACTGCTCTGATTATAGGAAAATAAGCACAAACCACAAGCAAGGTACACAGACTTGAAGTCAATATAGGGTGATTCTAAGAGACTTTTCCTTGTTCCACTTCTTACCATCTTCTAATTTTTCTAGGATGATCCTCTGATCATCCCCAGAAATCAATCTCCCTTGCAACACCATGGTTATGGAGGTATGTATAAATTTATTTATCCTCAATTTCTGTGATTCTTTTCCCAGATTCACTTTGAAGAACATGTTCTTGTCTTCGTCTGTAATAACTCTTGAATAAAGGCTGTAAGAAGCCATGGATCATCCAACTGAAAATCTGATTTTTTTTAAAAAAAAAAATTTGTACCTTTTCTGATTTGTAGTTATTTTCTTGCCTTATTGGTTTTAATTTATAATATAAAACAGTTTCTAAAATAAATCATTTTTCCCAGCAAAGTGCGGAAGTAAAAGATCTTTCGAAGAGTATAATTGTGGTCAAATAATTGCATGGACAAGCTCATGTTATCGACTTTAATGAGTAAAGAAAAATGGATTTCAAGTTAAGAAATTAGTAATGTGACAGACTAATGACATATTTGGTATAAGGGACTATGTTAAGTCAATCCTGGTTGCCTCAGGTCAACCAGGGAGACGAGATCCCTAGTGGATGGCCGCTTGGTCTAGGAAACATGAACGTGAGATTTAGAGTGGCCGAGACCTCTCGCCCAATACGCTCATCCAGTTTCTCTTCATTCTCATCTTCCAATCTTGATACTGAGGTAATGTCTAATTCAATCATTTTCTTGTCATTTAACATGAAACACTTACTCATGCTCAGACAGCATTTTATAAGCTAAACATGTTGCTGGTGTTGTGATATTCTAGTCGACAGCATCGTTCTTCCCAGACCGGAGTGTGTCCCTAGGCCGGTTGATTGGAATTCAACCAAGGAATATAGGAAACTCGTACTACCCAAATACAATCCTCAACCAACAGTATGGGAACTTATCCGTTACGCGGTCCGACCAAGATGAATTCCAGGGCCACGACAATCCTCAAGGACTTTGTGTTCCCCTGTTTCATAACGTAATCGGGAAGATGGGCAGAAGTAGAAGCAGCACAAGGCATTAAGGTCCTAGAGCCACTGTTCGCAACATATATCTTTCTGATATACACAGGAAATAAAAAATTTCTATGGTAACTTCTTTTTGTCTGTTTGAAATTCCATTCAGTCGAGCAATTGATTTGTGGAACTTAAAATGGGGGAAGAATATGCAATAATATACATCTTAATTGGAGAATTATAAACTCTCTATTTGTTTATTATATATAGCGATTGTATTTAATAAGCTGCGAATTTTGATTAGTACCTTCACAGGAGAGAACGAATTAATTCAACAAGATCCGTATACCAAAACCCGATGGCCAGAGAGTGACGAGTACTCTAATGGGATCAAAATAAACAGAGTTAGCACTTTCAAGATTCTTCGACAACATTTATCAGCTCATACTCGATCATGGAGGGAGAGATTGTTTGAAATGTCCAAAAATACAAATATAAACGATCAATTACATGATTCTAAAAATTACAGAAAGTAAAACTTGCGGAAACAGAAGAAATTGTTTTGGCTGAAGCCCGGTCGATGACCGCTTCTAATACCTAGTCCCGTGTTGAGTTCACTAAAAATTGTCAAAATGGCAACCAAGGTTTACAATAATTCAAGAATACAAAAGATCTAGCCACAAATGGACTTATCTTTTAAAAACTGCAAATCGAACAGCCAAGTCCACCAATAACTCGAACAAACTACAAATCTGATATGTACAACACAATAACACTCAAGCCCTTAAAATTTTCAGTCAGAAAACACTAGTAGAATCAAAAACAGATTTGAAGATCTCAGTTTCAAATTAGAGTTTCCAGACTAGAAGATGAAACCTAGGCGAAGGGTTGTTTTTCTCTCTCAAAAACTAAAGCCATATTATTAAGAATAATGAAATGCCAAAAGTCAAGAGGGGGATTTAACCATTGAAAACATCCTGAAAGCAATCAAACGGCTAGCAAGATGCCAAATGTCAAAATTCAGTTAACTCCATCCACTAACAAAGTTGTCATTCGTTAAACGCGACTTTAGTCAATTTTGGTGGTTGACACGTCGCACGTGCACAGTAACCCAATGATGTAGAACAGATGGTTGAATGTATTGAAAAAGAATTGGACCGAAAAGGAAAAGAGGCAATAGTGCAGGTGCGCCAAGCTTCGGTTTGGGTCCATAGTACCATTTCGGAAAGAGAACGACGAAACGAGTAGTATTCATTGCTACGAGTTTGTTTAAGACTCGAAGTTTTAGTACTATTTTTGTATCGTATGTACATGCGATACACACAAGGCATTTGCAGAGTATTGACTATACCAACGAATTTATGTGATTGGCAGAGAAGAACAATCTGCCAGAATCAGAAAATCAGATGATAGTGAGGTATACCAGTGCTTTGAAGGAGTGGTTTGAAGGTGACTACTCAAGAAAGAATTGGATTGCAAAATATTTGGATGTTGAAAGAAGCCATTAACATTGTGACAAAGGCTGAGATGATGGAATCTGGCAAGAGGGCGACCACTTATAGTTGTCGAACCATCATCGTCCGTTCTTTTAGACAAAGGGAAGGCTCCACTACAAACCTCAATCAACTCTAATAGGAGCAATGTTGATGACAATGGTCAATTTGGAAATAGATGTCAAACCCGAGGTACACCTCATAATACAAATTTGTATGCTAGATTTTCAATTGAATTCCTTGTTTCGAGCTCCGTCACCCAACAGTTATCCCCTTTGACATAATACTTCAAAGGTTTGGCTACCTCGATGTGGCCCCATTTATCAACAGCTAGACTCATAGACCCTTGGAACATGTCCAGAGAATTACAGTGTTATCTGGATTTATCAAATTTTAACCAAAAAAATTTATCAACTCAACAACTTTGACAAATTTTGACATATATTTCTTTTCTTTAACTAGTTATAACTAATTTCACTTGATAAACTCGCTCATTTGGGTTCAATTTACAATTTGACAACTTTCATTTTTATTATTTCACGCTCAATTTACATCGGATTTAACAACTACTCTACGACAATCGTACAACATATCACATTTTTAGTTCACTAAATATGACTCGAGACATTTGAACTGCACCAAAATTTACCTCGTTAGAGGAGGCGTGCATGTGCGGGGATAGAGAGAATCCAAATAGCCATCTTCTTACTTCATCAAGTCCACCGCATCGAAACTGAGCTGCCCATTACTGAAAAACCCAATGACAGAATTCACAGTGGATTTGCATGCCCATAAATAACCAAGCAGTTACTCTTTAAGTTGTGATAATTAGGTACTCGAGCAGAGATTACTCAGGTGAATCGAAGAGTGCACAAAACAATAATACCACCACAAGCATGAGTAATAATTGTATTATTTGTATGAGCAAAAGGAATCGTGTGTAATGAATTTCAGTCTTCAAAATAAGAATGACAAGGTCCAAAATAAGCTGTTACATATATTCCATAAAGCAAAAGGATCTATGCAATGATTCTTGAGGATGGATAAAATAATTTGTATTTGTTACTAATTCACAATAGTAGAAGAGTGAAAGAAAACCTGAAATTTCACTAATGTTTCAGTATTATGTTAGGGCTTATTAGCACAAAACGTTCCTACATTTAGTCTTTAATGTGCAAAACATCCCTACGTTTCAATTTTTTTTATTTTCACCCTTATTTCCACATTTTATTACGGAAAACATCATTTTCATCAATTTTCATCAATTTTATCTATAAAAATATGTGAAATGACAAATATACCATCTTATTTAAATAAAAAAGAAAACAATAAAGGACTAATTGCGACTATAGACTCAAATTTTTCAAAAATTACAAATGAGTTCCAGACAAATAATTAAAAACCAAAAACAAAAACAAAAATAAGAAAGATGGTGAATAATCGGTTACAGGAGTAGAAAAAACAGCTCTTGTGCGATGAAGATGAAGCGGTGTCTGTGGTGACCAACAGTGACTGGTCTGATACGATCCAAAATATGATAAACTCGACCTAGAAGCCCATTTCTCCATCTCCGACTTCTTCCTCCTCATCATGTGCCTTCACTTCTGCTTCTCCGCTACCTTGCCCCAAACAGTCCATGATCGACGCTGCAGTTGCTATCTCTGAAGGGAAGACGAAAATTGCATTGGAAATTCTCACGCGCATTCGTCAAGTGGCCAACGTAACAGGCACTTCTGAATAGAGGCTCGCCGCCTATTCAGCCTCAGCTCTAAAGTCGCGCGTGAATCCATCCGATAATCCACCGACGATGTCGAATTTATACGGTAAGGAACATCCATCAAATAATCCACCAGCAGCCGGAAGGGGTGGTGCGGATATTTACGCTGGATCGGCTTTTTCCATGTCTCCTTCTACTAGATCTTTGTATGTGCCTTCTTTTTTTCAATTGTGCACGCCAAGTGTTTGACGATTCGGCTACAAGACGATTGCTTCGTCTTGAATGAAGAATTCAGTTATAGTTCTTGTTATTGGCTTTTTGGATTCTTATTTCTGGGATTCATTCTGTGAATTTTTTAATATGGATGAATTTTGTGATCGAGAATTGAGATGAAAAAATGCAATTCATGTATTTAGCTCAGGCACGGCGGTGGAGGTTCTGGTAGTGTTGGTGGGGGTGGTGTGGGATTAATAGGTATGGTGAAGGAAAAATATTAATACTAAGGCCCTGTTGGGGGGCGGGGGGATTAGATTTTTTTACAGTAAATCAATTCTCAACATTTTTCAATAAAATAATATTTTTTATCATAATTTTTTCTTTTTTTTCAACTACACATTTCCCATCATATCACTATTCAAAATCAATTCTTCTCCCAAACAAGCTCTAATTTTTTTTCTTTTTTTTAAATTATTTGTTTGGGACTCATTTGTAATTTTGAAAAATTTGAGCCTATAATTGCAATTAATTATTTATTGTTTTTTTTTTCTTTTTGTTTTATTTAAATAAGAGTGTATATTTGTCATGTCGCGGATTTTTATAGATGAAAATTGAGGAAAATGATGTTTTTGCAATGAAATGTGGAAATATGGGTGAAAATATAAAAATTTGAAATGAATGGACGTTTTACACACTAAAGGCCAAACTTAAGGACATTTTGTGCTAATAAGCCATTATGTTAGAGATTTATGAAAATGATTATCAACCAAAAACATTATCAAACCCTAATCACATGTATAAGTATACTCCATGTTGAAACCAAGAGAAGATTAATAGCGGAAACACACCTTGATCCATGTTGTTTGATTGTTTGCCTGAATGAGTTACGATCTTCCAATTGATTGGTGGTCTTCTCTTGATTTTTCTTCTCTGTTGCTGGGGAGGCAGAGAATCTGAAGAACGCTACCAAAATGGAGACCATAACTTAATATAATAATAATAATAATAACTGAAGAGTCAGTATCTTTCAATTGTTTTAAATTGGCCCCTCATCAATCTAAAACAAACTTCTGTTCTCTACACTATATTTCCATGAAATCTAATACCCATTAGTCAAAATACAATTTTAACGGATCACTTTAATTGACTAGTATTTTTTAAATAATAGCACAATGCATTTTAATATATTACGTGTGGCCCCATATATGTTATAATTTTCCAACAATCTCCCACTGGGCCATACATGTAATCTTTCAAATGTGCACAACATTATGAGCTCAAAATTTTGCTATCATTATTATGGATATTACCAAACAATATATGATCAAAGCGATTTTCGTCATATTTAACGTGACTAAATCCATCGATGGTCACATACACCCATATAACCAAATCACATAGATCAATCATGTGAGTGTATCATGGAAATTACATGTTATGTGATCCAAACATGTCTATTTCCAACTGGTCCAACCTTATTTCTTAAGTAAGATCAATACTGAATACAATAATAGAGTGAAATGAACTGAATACTTTATTTATGTATAAAATAATATCCAAATACACAAATGNTGATATTATTCTGTACAGAATAATATCCAAATTCACAAATGTGTCCTAAACATAAAATAATGAAAATAAA